CTAATAAATAGACTTCAATCAATTTAAATTTTATAATAGGGCAAAGATTAAATTAACATCAAGGATTAAAAACGTTAATACTTATTTTCTGTGGCTCTTCAAAACACACTGTCTTATACCAATAACACTGTTAGGAGACAGAGATTATTGAGTAAAAGTTCTGAAAGCATCTGAAATGAGTAAAAGTAGCACTGCTGAAAACCAAAATGTGGGATGCCCTAAGAATAAACATCTAGCAATTTAGGTTCACAAAGTTATAAACAAGCATATTCAAACTTAGATAGAGTAAGGAACTAGTACCAAACTCTCCTCTAAATATTTGTCTCATATTTGCCCTTTTCATGAGAAAGGGACCATAATTTGGGATACTGTAGGAAGTAATTGTAAATAACATAAATGCAAATCCACATTCCCATGCATCTGTTAAATGCCATCAGGAATTCATACCCTTCTCATTTTGACTGTTTGCTTTTCTACATCTTTTCCATCTTAGTCTGAGAAGCTACTTTAGATCCATTATTTTTTCTAAAATACCATTTTTATTGCTATTTTATATCTATAGGGATGTCATCAATCATATGAAGTTGAAGATTTTGCCATAGTGGGACTACTTGAAGATTAGATCATGCTCAACCAGAGAGATGAAAACTCCAGCCTACTATGCCGAAGAACATATACAAGAAATATACAAAAAATGCTCAAAAGACAATTTCATCCAATATGTGACCGGTTCCTCGAGGCCATCTTTCAGAAGGGCCCCTTGGAAGAGACTGTAGGACGGGTGAATTGTTCCAACTCTCCCAAACCCGGAAACCACCCCCAAACACAGAATTATCCTATCATCTGCAATCACACTGGCTTTATCTCATGAGCACTAGACTGCAGTAAGGTGTATCCCTGGGAAAGACAACCTCCCAAAGGCGAGTTGCTCCCACTAAACATCCAATCTGAGCTGCACTGCACATCCTGTTTATTCTCCTATTAATCCCAGGAAAGATGAGGCTAGAAACAGGATGCACAAGCTATTCCAGCCGTAATGGATGGGTTGCCAAATGCATTGGGGGTAGCACTGCCTTAAGTTCAGCACTGTATGAGAATTCTTAGAGTTAAAATGAATGATTCACTTTCAAATGCCCAAGTTTACAGAAATGCAGCAGGTAAAACTATACTAATGAAGTGTAAAATACATGCAATATTATTTAAAGCATCATTAAGTAAAAGTTGTTTATAATGCCACTCTGGTAAGGAGACTTAACACTGAATTTCTGCTCACATAGCAATTAATGTTCACTTTGATTACTCAGCATTTCAGTATGTAATATTTTCATTTCAATATTCTTGTGCTACTATGATGAATGTTTTACACTTGCCACTCTTCCTTCAGACTGACTGCACGTCGCTAACTGTGGGGCAAATATTCACACACTGAGAACACAGTAAACTCTAATCTGGCCTACCAAAATCAATGGGAAATAAGACATTGTTGCCTGACCCTGGATAAGCTCAATTTAGAAGTTAAACTTTCTCTCTACAATGTCTAACTGTTATGATCACTCATATTTTTCAAAGCAAAAACTTGTATTAAATTTCTATCGTTACATAATTTAATACCAAACATTCTCCATGTGCCTGACCTGAAAACCATCCCAAAGTAGTGCTCATCAGATAATTATCCAGCTACCTGGCTATATTCTATGATATTATTAACTATTTACTGACTTATTTTCAGAAATTGTACAATTTTGTGTTGTATAATTTGCCACAATTATTAACAAATGCATTCTCAATAAAAGAAAATTGCTGTAATGTGGAACTACACTGAACTCCTTCCTGGGGGGCCTGATGACATGATGAAACTAAAGTTTGCCTGGAGTGAAGGAACACAAATATTCATCTTCATGTCAATTTAAAACATGAGCGCTCCTGAAATAACCGTCTAAGAATCTCTGTTTTGATATAACTGCACCATGGAATATGAAACCATAACATCATTGAAAGGAAATACAAATAAATGTAGACTAATAGACTTATATAGACTATAGACTTCTGTGGTCATAAACTTTTTTTTTTTTTTAAATCATTCTGCTGCCCTAAATCTAGACTTAAAATCTACCAATTAGCGGAAGACAAAAGGAAAAGCCCTGCAAATGCTCTCTGGTGCTTAATTGCTTTTCCATTACTTCTATGTCAGGGACATGGAGGATAGTATGTACTATTGCACAGGCTGCAGCTCTGATAATGCACTAGGAAGGAAGCACAGTATATCTGTTTACTCCACTCATTTTTCATCATTCTGCTCAGGAAGAACACCCCCATCTTTAACACATGTACATATGTAAAAACATCTGCATCTCATCCTTATTAATAGACTTCTTTACATCTACTTCAGGTCAGCTCATTAGAGGCCATCAGGGTCACTTACACCTGTTTATATCACAACATAGCATCACTGAAGTTACCTGATTCTACCTGGAACACCTATTCCCATATGTTTCCACACAAAATGATCAACCCTGATCTCTTCTGCTAGGGCATCAGAGTTCAAACATATAGGGCTTATTGATATGAGTTACTATACGTCTCAGAGTAATTTATTGTGGACAACAGAGGGATACCAGTAATGAGTGTAAATTGTTTCACAGCTGTAGAAACAAGCATTTCTGTGCAAAAATTGAGCTACTGGCTTTCTTTCCCAAAGATAAATACGGTTAGAGAAGCTTATTCTTCAATTAGCAGAACTAGAGGCACTCAGGCTTGTCCTGAATGTGTCATTTATTTTCATTTTATTATGGCCACTCTTAAAACTTCTACAAACTTCTTTTCTGATAGAATTTTATACTTTAGGCTTAGTTTGTCACAAAATACTCCTTTCTTTACCTTTCTTCTCATTTCACTTCTCCCAATACTTTTACTTATGAGGGAGAACCACTTCTGCACCACCATGGTGGACAGAGAGGGGCTACAAAGAGTTTCTCTTCCTTCCTCTAGAGAACTTGCCAGGTTCCAAAGAAAAGGAGAAACAAAAGGCAGCAGTACAACTAAGGTCTATTTCTATTCTGGTTTTATATCCTCCTCAAAGACTGTGGCAGTTATTCTAGGTCTCTGCGGGATGGACAGATGATAATATAGGGAATAGGCAATGAGGGTAAAAAACAGCTGTGACATTTATATATAGGAACATTAGGAAGAAAGCAGGGAGAGACTGTAATGGATAAAGTCTGCATTACTTTAAAAAGTTCTCATCCAGTATTTATCTATATCAAATTATCTATCTTGTCTAGCTAAACTGCAAGATCTTAGAGACTACTTTCTGTTTTACAGCTATGCACAGCCCAGGTTTAGGGCTCAAAAGACTGATACAGCCTTTGCACAACTTAGTAAAAGAAATGCTCAATGACAAAATCATCTAATGTCTAGTAAGATGCAAGCTCATTTCAAGCTCTTGATAATAGGCAGCTAAGGGATTATTGTGAATGAAAATAAGAATATTTTCAAGTATCTAAATCAAACCTTTAAGTATCACTGGAAGAGATTCATCTTTTTCATAAGCCAAAAAATCCTGTATTCATATACTGAGCCTCAAATATCCTGGTGTGACAGTTAGAATTAGACTTACTTTTTTTAACAGGAATATTCAGATTCTTACACAGTTCCCTATCTCTGAGTAATGGGATTTTAAGAAAAACATTTTCTGATGTAAGATTCAGCATAAAAGCATAAAAATTGTCAAGACTGAAGAAACACTAGTTATATACCGATGTTTTTATTATAGCAAGGATAGAGAGGTTATTTTGTGTTCAATTCAATAGCCAGTCACTCCTGGAAACTCTAATCCTATTTTGTAAAAGTTAAAGTATGTGACTGCAGTTGAAATTCAAAAGAAAACTCAACACAGCAAATAGGAACTCTAGATTCTGTAAATAATGGGAAATATTTGCTTAAAATGCTATATAAGAAGCTATTTTGTCTTGACAAGTAATGAATGTAGAGCTTGTGTGTTTCAGACTATTTAGTCTGCAACAATCAACATTAGTATTATTATTACTGCTAATATACTTTTTTGGAGCACCGAGTATTATCCACTTCTGGAAACATTTTGGTAGTGAAAGGACACATTGTGTGAGCTGACAGAATACAGTAGCTCCTTTTACATTACTGAATTACTTGCACTTTCTGATAAAAATGGGTCCTTCAAGAGCACACATTCTTTTTTCCTACAGAGAATTCAGTTGATAATGCTAGTCAAACATTTTTCTGCTGAAAGTTTTAAGAGGATATGCTAAACAAATCAATCTGGTTTCAGCATTATTATCACCTAGTGAGATCTCCCAAGTTTTAGCTGAGCGCTCTATTAATGCCATGGTTATTGGATTGCAATGTGACAAGAGTAAACTCTTTTCTCTGCAAAAGACCAGGTAAACAGACAATAACATATCTGCAATGATTGCACCCTCTCCAAATAAGTATGATGGAAAAGAGAGGAGGGTTCAGGAATACAGAAGGAAGATTTAATTATGGTCTTCATATATACAGAAATCTGTCACAAGAAGGAAAGATGTGCAATCGTTATTTACATTATTACTCCTTTTAACTACATACTTTGCTTGTACACCTAGGGGCTCAGAATGTGTTCTTAGTGGTCAACAGGAAAACGTGACTTACCAGATTTTCTCTCCCCAAACTGGAGACCCACACAACGCTTTTTTTCTATTCAAAACACTGCCTCAGTGTCTTTAGCAGACAGATTGGATCTGGGGCTCTGTCATATTCTGGCACACTATTATATTGTGCTTCTTTTGACAGCTATTGTTTCATGCTACTTGGAATTTACTACCATTTTGTTTTTTTGTCTTACCATACAAAATAGGTATGCAGAATACGTATTTTAGTTAAAATAAAGAAATGTTGATTCGTGTTACTTTTTTTTTTGTGTTGTTTTCCAAGTGCTGGAATTGACTGGAACAATGAAAGAATAATTCAATTCTTTATTTAATTCTTACCTGAGAAGAATATGTGTGACCATCTGATCCACAAACAGGATTGGTATAAACTACTGGACACTGCTTGCAGTTTGATGAAATGGGACCACCCCTCCACTGTTTATGGCCTAAACCAGCCTCTTTCATACTGTAAGTAAACAAAAAGTATGTAATTCTGAGAAGCGGTAGTAAAAATAGAACACATTCAGGGTATTTTATGAGCCTTTATAAACAAATCATACATAATTTCAGCCATTAAGTTTCCTTTCAGGTAAAGAGCTGGTACAGTCTTTGGTATACAGCTTTCATATCACACTCACTGCAGTGATACTTAATATCTGCATATTATTTAAAAACCTCAGTCCTCTTGATAGAAAAAAATGATTAAGATGATACTTTGGTGATGGCTATACTTACTGATCAGTAAAAGAAGTCTGATTCGTGTGGGAGTTGCTTGTTTTTGTTAAACAGTATGAATGGGACTGTTATTAATACTGGCATTTAGAAAGGTTACATATAAATATTTAAAACGAAATAAACACTTACAAGAGAAACAGTAAGAAGGTCATTCAGTGTACTGTTTACCTCACTTTGACCACTGTCTTGCACTGTTTACATTTCTTAAAATTCAGACTCTACAGCCCAATGTAAAATTTGGATGGAAAAAATAAGGCAATTCATTGGAACACGGGAGTTCATCTGCATATGTGTTTACGTGTGCCTGCGTACATACATTTGCCTGTACATATACTGAGAGATGAACAGATATAGGATGGATCATTTTAACCTAAGCAAAAGCTACACTCGCTCAGACTAAAAGACTGTCTTGCCTAGTATTTGTCCCCTACTATCCACCTGTCTCTGACAGTAGCCCATAGCAGATGCCTAGGTAAGAGCATAAAAACAGGGGAAATAAGTACTGACACTTCCTCGGAATATTCTTCTAGTCTTCAATAATTTGTGGCACAGAGACATCCTCAGCCATGGGTGTTTTCTCTTTGCACCTTTGAAAGAATTTTTATTTCATGAATTTTTTGCACCTTTTTGCACCTATGAATGTTTTTAGCAACTATCACATCCAGAAACAATTCCTTTATGAGAGTCCACTGACTGACAGACAGACCTCCATAATGTTTATATACTAATGGCTTTCATATCAATCAGATAAGAGAACAATAACACATTACTTTTATATTGGGTTTTCATTTTGGAATGTTAATCAGGAACATAAAAATGATTATTCTTAGAATACAGCTATGACTTGTCAAGACATGCCAAAGTGGTAAGCATTCAAATTCATAACAAACTCAATAAAACAAATTCCCTTGAACAGAGCAGAACTCTTTTGACTTGTTTCACTTATAAGCAAGAAATATTCGGCTAATTACCCATGAATCACTGTTTCAGAAGAACTTGTTTGGAGTGATAAAGAGAAATGAAATAAGAGGAAAAAGCTCTGCATCCTGCAGTTTCGATGTGCAGAGTAAAAGCATAAAAGCACACACCTAGCGGTAAAGTGGTGATGGTCAAAACCAAAAATCCCTTTCTCAGTTATGCTGATACTGTTTACGCGTCCCATAATTTTGGCTTTAAATGTGGTCTTTAAGAAGAAAAACACACACAATTTACAGACAAAAATTTATATTCAGATGTTTTGTGTGACTAAATTCTGAACTGTACAGATATTTTACAGTGTAAATAGGGACCTGGCTCATATTATACACAAAAAATAGGAGTTACTCCTGTAAAAGCCAGTAACAGCTCCAATTACAGGTAGCATAATCAGTGGTAAAATATCTGTACAGGAAGTTTATGTCCATCTGGAAACACATAATAAGAAAACATACAAACATATACCACCCCAATTAATTAAAAATATCAATACTTTCTGCTGAGTAGCATCATTTGAAGACTACATACACACCACTTCATTTCAATTCTAGTAAAGAAAGGTAAAGCTGAACTACCCCTTTGGTTATGCACAACACCTAGTAATAAAATCTGCTGCTCCTCTCCCATGGCTATTCTGAGAGTTTTCAGGCATGAGCTCCAGTATAACTAGATTTTGAGGGTTGTATCTTTCTCTCATTTCTTGCTACTTTTACTGCTGACAAGTCTTTCAGAAGCATGAGATTACTGACAGGTCCAGAGAGTTCCAACTATCAACGTGATAGAATATCCTCGCTTATCTGAGACACAATAACTTTTAAACATTACATAAATTAATTATAAATGTTCCAAATATCAACTGGAACAGGGCAGAGGTATGAAGAACACATATGAAGAAAACATTTTACGCAGTCAGATAGGTTACACAGCCAGAAAGTTAGCTTTGTCAGACTTCACATTTCTAAGTATTATCAGGTATTATAAACAAAAGAAACAAGCTATTCCAGGGTACTCATTTAGCGTAGAGAGAGTCAAGTTTCCTATTCTGCACAGGATTCTCCCGAGACCTTCAGTAAATCACTCTTAGACCTTGGTTTCTACATAACTAAGAAAAAAATCTCTCTAAAACAGAAGTATCTGCACTTTCCAAACTCAGGACGGAAGATATAATGCCAAATATAGGATAAATAATAATACCTGGAAGGTATCAATCCAGAGATACGTGGTCATATAAGTGCTTTGGATGGATGTATGTTCAGAAGGTCTTTCTGCAATGATGCAGAAAATAGATTCTACTTCACCATAGCTGCCTAACAGCTGTTTAAAAAAAAAAAAAAAATAAAACTTTCCAGGCTCTGAGTCATCAGGCAAAGATGAAAAGGAAATACTAAACATTTTGCTAAACTATTGAAAATACCAGTTAGACACATATACACACACATACATTTCATAAAATCATAGAATAATGCCTTTCATCTATTTACTCATTATTGCATCATTATTTAATTACAACAAATTTGTTCTTGTTATCAGTTTTCGGGGTTTTTTTGTTTGTTTGCTTTGTTTGTTTTTTTTTTTTTTATAGTATATAGCTTCCATCTAGGGAATGAGCACACATACAAAACATGGAAATAGTTAAGAAACCATTATTATGATATAAATTATTATCTTGAATTAAAAATAATCGCCATATGTCCATGGTATCATGAAATGAGATGTAGAAAGACTGCTTAACCAGAATACAAATAATTTCAATTACACTTTACTTAAAATATGCAGATAAAGCAATTTACCTTTTGTACTTAAAAATGCTAAAAAGGGAAAGAATCAGTAAACAAAGAAATCACTCCACTATAAAAAAAGTCACTTTTTCCCCACTCCTGGTGTTTATTAGTTTATTTAGTGCATTAGATATGCAACAGATCTTTGCAACCTGAAACTACTTGAATTTTGCCATTTAATTTTGTGATTCCACTATGGTCACCATAAATGTGCTTGCCCCGTTATCATTTTGCCACAATAAATATATGGTGCCACAAAAATCTCAACCTCTTCCACTGATAAACTTTATCCTTCTATATTTTCTGAGAAGTGATTTGGGATCTCTTTGGAGTAAAAAAATAACTAGTATAGGATATACAACTTCCCGCTTGCCTGACATTGTTGACACCTAAAGAGTAAAATTAAATCTATGGGTTTTATTTACCAGCAACACTTGTGATTGCATTAATTCACATACACTAAATTGTGCATATGCTTGTAGACTACATATGCAACCAGAGGCCTAGAAACACAATTAGACAATCTGCCCAATTACGCTAGCATACATACCTGTGTTGCATACATAAACTTACCTTTCTGTGTACACAGTGATCTCACCTGCAAATACTTCGAGAATGCTTAATGCAGCCTATTGAAAATTTAGCTGCAAACTACTAACTTTTTGGCAATGACTTATTTAATGACATCTATAAAATGCGGGAGTGACCAGTATTTTGTTCTAAACATCTATATGATAAACTAAAATCTAAACAAAACAGACAACTTGTTAGCTTTCTGTGTTGGTTTTTGTTTTTTGGGTTTTTTTTAAAGTAAGCTGCAGTTAATGCTGCTGAAATTTCCTGGAATAATACTTGTTTCCTTTTGTTCAACTGAAGTATAGCATTTTAATGAGACAGAAAAGTCAAGAGTGCACAGTAACATAGAAACGAGTCTCCTCCTTCTTAAACTTATTTGGAGTTGCTTGAGACATGAAAGAGATCCTAATATATGAGCAGTCAGATGCAGAGGCCACTCCAACCTTCCTTTCCTTTCAATTTGATTAGCAAATGATATGTTTCTAGGAGTAATATTGTTACACGTAACTATACAAACCACCAGAAGTGTTGGGTTTTTTGTGTGGGAAGAGGGGGAGGAGGAATAATGGAGATTTCAGATTTTAAAGCATATGAAGTCCCTATTAGCCATAAGGCATTAGGATAAGGCATATCAATGCCTCATGACTTTTGAAAAAGTTTTAGCACGTAGACTGAAGGTCTCTCTCATGAGCTCCCAAACTGTTCCCCTTGTAATTTACACCGGCACTAACGAGCTTATATTCTTCTAACATACTCTTAAAGTGTGACTTATGATGTAGAAACAACATTATAAAAAGCTTGGGTTAAGCTCATTATATGCTGACAGTTGTCTGATCAGAACTGCTGTATGTTCTGTTGCAGCCTTAAGGCAGATGCATCTACAAAAAAACATAAAGAAAATAAGAAATATCTAAATTAAGGGGAAAAAATATGAATTAGGATAGGGTGAAGGGATAATGGGATAATAAAGGAAAAGAAAACCTGACTTGGAGACTGAGTCATCCAAATATATATATACACATATCTAAACAGGCCTCAGCAGATCAAATGCTTTCAGAGAGTGGATTATAAGTACATATGACATTGAAAAAGCTAGTTCATAATGAGAGAACTCTGCTGCAGTCTGGAGAAAAAGTTGTCCTCTGTAGAAAACGTTTCAAATGTTCTTTCCAAATTGTAAGCGACAGTCCTTCTTTCGAGCTGAAGCACTCTTGAGTCCCCACCCTCTCAGTTATAGGTATTCCTAAAAAAAGTTCTGATTTTTTTTTTTTAATTAAAGCTCAAAGACAGAAAGAATAGTATGATGTTCAAATATTTCCTACAGACAACGCCAGAAAATTGACTTGATAAAGGATTAGAAAGATGGTTGTACTATTATAGACGGCATTTTCCATATATTTTA